TTATACTGTTCCCGTAGGAAGTGGGGGGTGGTAAGAAGGCGCTTATGCGCGAGGACATTCTCGGAGAAAACGCTGCGAGTCAGTGCCAGGTTCATTCATTTCTAGCTGATGATAATGTATCTGGATAGATTTGCCAAGAAGGGAGTTAAGTTGGTCTCGGATGAGGTTTGTGGTGCGCCTGAGAACCCAGGGAGCAAAGGTCAGGAAGAGAATGATAGCTATTAAAGGCCCGAGGAGAGGGAGAAGAAAGGGGAGTAGTCCGTTGAAGGCTGTAAGGAAAGGGCTTTCAGTTAGGGCTTTTCGTCATTTTTCCAGATCTTCTCGAAGGGTTTGGATCTTGTCCCGGACGATGCCTGACTTGTTGGCATAAAAGCAGCATCGTTCCTGTAAAGCTAAACAAATGCCTCCCTGCTCTGCTGTGAGTAAGTCTAAGCCTCGTCTATTCTGGAGGACTACCTCCGCTAGGGAGTCTAGTTGGTCTTGAATGTCAGTAATGGTACTGGATAAGGCTTGGACATCATCGACAAGTTGTTTGGAAAGTTTTGTATAGGAGTGAACTGCGACTCCTAATCCTGCAGTTCCGGTAGCTACCGCTCCAGAAACTCCTAGACCAACAAGCAGGGGAATAATAGCTAAGGCTCTTTTTGTGTCGTCCTGCGAAGTGGTCAAAAGCAGGAACGGGACGGGTTCATCCCCTGGGATAATGTCTATGTCAGGTAGTAAGGCAGCTAGGGCACATAGCCCTGTCCAATTGGCGGGCAGGGCGGTGAAAGGTAGATTATTGCCACAAATGAATGCTCGTCCTGGACCAGGGCAGAGGGATGTGCTGTAATTAAGCGTGTGGCTACAATTGGTAAAGCTAGCGAAACCAACAGAAATATCAAAAGAATTATTTTGTAATTTCTTATAGATGCAGGGGGAGGAGTAAAAAAGCATAGGCTGAACTCTAAAGGGTATGCTGAGGGTGCAATTTTGTTCGGTGATATTCAGGGCTGATATGTTGGTGGGGACAGTCTCAGAACCAAAAACTTTATAATAATCATTCAGACAATCACCTACATGGTGCCAGACACGGGAGTCAATGCTACCCTCTTGAGGAAACCATGGACAGATTTTAAAAATGAAAGTAAAAAAGGAATTTAAATCTTTTTTACAAACCCGAATCTTCCACACCTTGAGGGATTCCTTTAATTGACTAACAAATAAATCACGTTGTGAACATGCCTGTCCCATGGTTGGGTCTTACCTTTGAGATGCCGCTGTCGGGGAACGGGGGTCGTCAGGGAATGCCGGCGCGCGGTTGGGCAGTCGCGGTGAGCCGGGCGAGACGCTGCAAAGCAGTCAAAACGCTGCGGTCGAAGGGGACAGCGGTCCGCACGAGCAATCAGCGGGGCCCCACGTTGGGCGCCACTTGCCTCGGCCCTCGAGGCAGTCAACGGGGTCCGCCGATATACCTGCAACGGATGAAAAGGGATGGGACAGGAGGCGTGAAAGAACGACAGCAAGACAAAGGATTCTGATCAAGCTGCAAATTTTATTTAAAAATGGAGGGAGTTATATAGAGAGGGGTGGAGGAAGGCAGATAGAGGAAGTAGCTCTGGTTGGTAGCCTTGGGGCGTGCTCTTAGCTAGGATTGGTCAGGGGACGTGTGATGGGCGCATGATCAAGGCACTGATTGGCGTGCTATCTGCATGTTCAGGCTAGGCGCCTGACCGCAAACATCCTGTTGTGGAAGCGCAATCTTTATTTCTGATTGCATCAGCCTGTTTCAGGCTTATCTTGGCCCCCAACATTTCTTGGTGTCAGAGTTTCTCTCCCTCTCTCTCTCCATCTCTCCCCCTCTCTCTAAAATCAGTGAGCATGTTCTTGGGTAAGGATTTTAAAAAATTAAATTAAAAAAATTTTCTTTAAGAATCTTAAACTCTTACACTCAATGTTCTCATGGCATATACCTGTTGCTGAAATGGCTAAGTTCTGGTAGAGCCTGCAATAGAAGCCAGAGCTCCTGACTCACTGTCCAGTGCTCATGCCTACATCTTACCTGTTCTGTAGCAGGCTACTCCCCATCAGTGTTCAGTGCTCTGTAATCTGCACTGTGGATCTGCTATGAAAATGAGCAAACAGAATGCAGTGTTCTCAGCAGGCTGTGTTAGAGGTTCAGGTTAATGATTAATGGCTCTCAGTCACTAAATATGTTACACATTACACATCTTTCTCAGGATTTTTTGAATTTCAGTCAGGGACTTCTGTCATCTATTAGCTCAACACCCAGTCCCCCCAAAATAAAAATAAAATGGTAGAAATTTATTTGGTAGGCTTGTACAAAACCTTATTTTGTGGAAAGACTGGATTTTTGTGTCTGCTCCCTTCTCGACATTACACCACGTAAGTCATCATCTACTCACGATGCTGGAGTAAAAGTAAATAGTACCTAAAAAACCATAAGCTTACACTTCTAAAGTACTACAAGATGATTTAGAGTTAACCACAAGAAAAAAATTAGAAGTCTCAGTCCTTTGCACAAGAGTTTTGATCTTTGCTTTAACTCTTTAATTTATGAAACACTCAGCTCTTGTGTTCATTCTGGAATACCTTATGATTACGCCCAACCATACAATCATTTCCACGTTTCCTGTACAACACAGGTGGCATTTTATGTACTTTTTTACTCCACAGAGTTCAAAACTTTATAATTAAGTGAAACCATGGAAGGTTAACATATGCCAATATTAAGCTCAGTATAAAGCAGTGTTATATTTGAGAAATACTGTGGAAAATCTATGCAGTAGGAAGAGTTACTAGTGAATGGATGCTTACTTTGGGTCTGCCATTATTTTAAGTGTTTTATGTGTCTATTAAGTCAACTCTAGAAGTTGTGGGGAGAGGAGAGGGGAAAAGTCAGAAAATTGTACTTGAGAAACAATAAAGAATAAATAAATAAAACAATAAAAAAGTCAACTCTGTAGAGTAGGTACTACTACCCCTAATTCACATATAACAAAATTGGGTTTAGAAGTTGCACAACTTACTCGAGGCTACAAAGCCAGTAAATTAGGGCGGTGAAGTTAGAACAAGGTCTCTATCACATTAAAGTCCTTGTTCCTAACCACTGTGATAACCCATATCCCAGTGCATTTGGACATTAGTTTCGACTTTAAAGAGCTTAAAAGGAACATGAAACTGCAACCTTTTGTAGTTTTGTGTCATGTCTAGACTGAAGTTCCAGCAGGAGAAAGCCCAACTCCTAGGTGTCCTCCCAAGGAGGTAGGAGATCTTCCCTATGACCCTCACGCATAACTGAGCTAACTTAGTCAACAGCTCATTCTTCTCCTCCCAGAAAGAAAACACTAGAGATACTTAGGTATAACTTATATGCAGTCATTGGGGATATTGTAGAGGACAATCATACATAGGGTAGAGTTGGATAGATTACCTTTCATCTCTTATAAGTTGATGGTCCTAAAAATAAAATCTAAAGGAAATGTTTAATGAGCTGGATTCACTTTAATTAAGCCATTATATTGTCTCTCTCCCTCTCTCTCTTTCTCTCTCCCCAAAGTGGGGGCATTGATGGAACTGTTAAACTTTTCTGTTTCTGAGGGTTGGGGCCAATCTATACATGAAATTTACTTTATTTTTAAATATTGCATGATTTTGATTGCTATATTATAAAAGTAGAACCACTGTATCTATTTCTGTATACTTTTTATTTTTAAATCTGAATAATATGTATGCCACTAAATAGCTAAGTTTTAGATCTGTCTGGAGGTGAGAGGCTACAACTCATATTGTCTTGTGTATCTTAAATGATTCATGTCCAAGGTTTACTCAGTACCTACCTGCCTATGGCAGAAGGGCTAGAGGAAAGGCAGTTTTTGGAAGCCTTTGAAAGCTGTGTATAGATGAGAAGTTGTGTGTGTCCAAGAGTCCTTATATCACTTTCTCATTTTCAAATCTTGCACATCCTCAAGAGACCTTGTCAAGGTCAAAGGCACAATGAGCTAACCAAGGGAAACCCCAGAGAAAGCCAAGATCTGAAAATAACCATGGCTCTCTAGAGAACCGCAGCCCTGCTGACTTGGCAAGCTTGGAATGCTGCGGTACTCTCTGGAAGGCAAGGCGATAAAGTCTTTGGCAAAGGAAAACAAAAGGACAAGGAAGGGAAAGGTGGCTGTGATAACTGTTAAATAAGAAATAGCAGGAAGCAAAGAGAGAGGAAATAGAAGGTGATTTAAGGAAATAAAGAAGTAATTATTTGGCTAGTCAGAAAATAAGTATAACTTTGGATACACTTTTAACATTCAAGTTTTAAGGAATATATTTTAAAGTCTGGAGGTTTTATAAAGCATTCACTAAAATACCTTTGTGATGTCTGGCCTTTTATAAAAACTAAGATATGCATGTTGCTTAAAATACTCCAGAATGGCATTTTAATTACAGGTATATATTTGAATAGAGGCCATAAAGTTGAGGCTATTCTAAGTTCTTTGGCCAGAAGTATAATAAAAGTTGATCATGTTGTTTTATACTTTTTCTATAAATATAATACAGATTTATTATATTAGAAAGCTCACTTAGGAAGAGGAAACTATATCTACAAATTTTTTGTTTATATTAATGAAATAATCATGGCACTTCATCATTTTTCTTGGTCTTGTTTCTATATATTTGACATTTAAATGTAAAAAAAAATAACATTTATTATGAAATCATCAAACTCCAGATGACTATGGAATTTTATATCCAATATTTCTTAATGCTAATGCACATTCTTCCTCTTTTCAATGGTTCAAAAGACATGGCTACCTTCCAGATGCCCTATAAATGTTAGGGGTAACTTTCCATCCTGGTTCAAAAGGGACTGCTCTCAAACAATGCAGAGAAGCTTATCACCCAATGCTACTATTTATCAGATACCCTGTAGAGGTAGCATATTTCACTTCAGAGAAATGTCAAAAAGCATATTAATGGTTCTTTTCTTTCTTTTTTTTTAATTATAGCAGAAAATGGCCCCCATCTCCGTGTGGAAGCAGAACAAGCCAAGGTGTTCTCACACAGAGGTGGCAATGTTACACTGCCATGTACATTTTTTCGAGACCCTACAGCATTTGGCTCAGGAACCCACAAAATCCGAATTAAGTGGACCAAGCTAACTTCAGATTACCTTAAGGAAGTGGATGTTTTTGTTTCCATGGGATACCACAAGAAAGCCTATGCAGGCTACCAGGGTAGAGTGTTTCTGAAAGGGGGCAGTGAAAGCGATGCTTCTCTGGTGATCACAGACCTCACCCTGGAGGATTATGGGAAATACAAGTGTGAGGTGATTGAAGGATTAGAAGATGATACTGCTGTGGTAGCATTAGATTTACAAGGTAAGTATCTATAAATCATGTCAAACTTAGAAATTATAACTTACCATTGATCATTTATTTTTTCATGATGTCTAGTCTTTTTTTTTTTCAGGATGTCTAGTGGTTATCAAAGCTATAATAAACCAAAAGTCCATGCATTGCATGTTTTTCTATTCTTGTGTATTTCATAGGCTATGATTCCAGCTTTCATATTTGAAATGTACACACAATGGTTATGCGCAAAATTGAAGCTATTTGCAAGTAGAAGAAATGTGCAGTGGAACTGAATTAATAATATTCAGAAACTGCCTATGCTATTCAAAATTTAAATCTCATTACATGGTTATTGAGACATTCAGATTCAATGCTTTTTTATTATACTACTAAAATTATCTCACTTTCAAAATAGTGGCAAGTTTTGTGAAGGATATCTACTAACTAAAATACATGTAATTGTATTCTGTAAAGTAATTCTGAAAACAATTTAACAAAAAAGTTACCTCCACATTTATTTAAGTATTACTGTAAAGAAGTATTTTTTAAAAAGCAGCAGAAAGAAAGAAGGAGCTCCTACCCTTTGCAACATTATGGATGGAGCTGGAAAGCATTATGCTACGCGAAACAAGCCAGGCAGTGAAAGACAAATACCACATGATCTCACCTTTAACAGGAACCTAAATAACAAAACAAAGAAACAAACAAAATATAACCAAAGACACTGAAATAGGGGACAGACTGACAGTGACCAGAGGGGAGAGAAGAGGGAATTTCAGGGGGAAATGGGTAGGGTTTACAGGAACAAATTTGGAGGACACATGGACAAAAACTAGGGGTGGGGGGTAATGGGGGGGAAGAGGGGAGGGTTGGGTGGGTGGGCTGGAATGGGAGTAAGTGGGAGAAAACTGTACTTGAACAATGATTAAAATAAAATAAAAAAAAAGATTTTATTTATTTATTTTTGAGAAGGGGAAGAGAGGGAGAAAGGGAGAGAAACATCAATGTGTGGTTGCCTCTTGCATACCCCCTACTGGGGACTAAGCTTACAACCCAGCCCTGTGTCCTCATTGGGAATCAAACCAGCGACCCTTTGGTTCACAGACCAGCACACAGTCCACTGAGCCACACCAGCCAGGGCAAGAAGTACTTTTTTTTTAAATGGTCAATAGTCTCTTAGACATTGAATACCAAATGGTCAAGACATTTGAGGGAAATTTTCATTTCTTGTATATGTAATACATTCAGTAGGTTCAAAACCCCAAATCTACAGAAAGCTCAACAATAAAAATGTCCTTGTCATCCTGTGTCTCTTCTGCCCAAAGCCCACACTCTAAATGCCCCACCAGTAGGGAAACTCTTCTCTGTGGTTTCTCATGTATCTCAAAACTTACATTCATGAATCTCTGAGTTTCTTTACGCTAGAGGATGAATTTTAGCTGCTTTGATAGAATATTTTTCTTCCTTGTGCACATGAACTATAAGTGTGTGTATGCTAGAAGCTCCTTTCACCTCCTAGGATGGATTTTTGCACTTGGAAAAGGATGGGTTTGCTCCACTAGCACATCATTGAAGATTTGACCTCTGAACCCCTTAGAATCCCATCACATGTATGGAGATTCATTAGCTTAATGTATCTAATGAATTATACGATGCTGTAAAATGGGGTTTTGTGACCTTTTCCTCCCAGTTGTTCTTCATTCCTGAATGCATGTCATCTGTGCTTTCAGTTTTTGATTCAAATTAATACCCATGAATATTGGTGAAACTGAGGCCAAATACACAAAAAATATCATCTGAGGACTTTCAGAAATAGAAAAATAATTCCATACGTGTACATAGCACTGTTAACCCCTAGGAAAGGCCTAGAGGAAGGTAAAACTATGCTGCATGGTCTCTGCCTTTTTGTTACTAAATGTAGTTACTTAATGGAGTTATTGAAATTTACTTTAGTTTTTATATGTATCATGATATGAAAACCTTTCATATGTCTAACAACTTAATGTTTGCCAACAACTGGGATGAAATAGACTACAATTATAAATATTAAAGAATATATATTCAAAACATACTTCCACTGACAGAACTACTCACATCGTTTGCTATTGCTCATTTCCATGTGATGATGTACCATCCTCATTAACCCCTTTGCAGTGATGCATACCAGACCTCCGTGGAAAAGTAAAGAGCATTTATTGTACTTTGACATATAAGGATAAAATAATTATACTCAGAAAATAACTAAATACCCTTCTTTTCACCCATGAAAGTTTGACTTTTCTTATTTTTGTAAGTGGTGGATGAAAGCAGTCACCACTAGCTCCATAATTCAGCTGTAGAAATTGCAGATTTTTCTCAAAGAGCCAAGAATATTTCTGCAGTCATAGTTGTAGGTGTTGAAATTTTAATAAGCTGAAAGTAAAATATGTAAATAAATTAATGCTAAAAATTATGTTGTTCCAGAAATGTTCCTCTTTGTAAGAAATATCTGATTGTTGAACTGTATGCACTGAATGTGCATAATATAGTGAAGCTTTTAAAATTTTGGCTGAGTAAAACATAGAAATTGACCTTCATATACTTGCAGTGGGTTCTTTCCAGCATCATCAAATATTCATTAAAGTGTATGTAAATCTTTTAAGCCAATAAAACAGTAAGTTGATCATTTATTCTTATGATTGGAAAATAGTGAAATTTTAATATAGGGTTTCATTTTGACTTTAGGAAATGCTTGCTTGAAATTATGCTAAATATGAAAGGAGCTCAAATAAAAAATACTACACTGGATTTGAACCTGAACCTACCACATTTCAGTAATATTCGATGATTAATCAAGGACAAATTACTAAAGAAAAAATTTTCCTAATGCCCATGAAAGTCCACTAAATATACTGCCATGAATTTAAGCCTGATTTTTTTAGTTTTTAAAATTATTATAAATTAAAATATTCTTGCAAATCAAAACCACAATGAGATATCTCCTCACTCCAGTTAGAATGGCTATCATTAATAAATCAACAAACACCAAGTGCTGGTGAGGATGTGGAGAAGAGGGAACCATTGTGCACTGTTGGTGGGAATGCAGACTTGTGCAGTCACTGTAGAAAACATCATGGAATTTCCTCAAAAAAAATTAAAAATGGAACTTCCTTTTGAACTAGCAATTCCACTGCTGGGAATAAACCCCAAGAATCCTGAAACACCAGTTCAAAAGAACTTATGCACCCTCATGTTCATAGCAGCACAATTTACAATAATCAAGTGCTGGAAACAGCCTAAGTGCCAATCAGTAAATGGGTGGATTAAAAAACTGGTACATTTACACAATGCAATTCTATGCAAAAGAAAGAAAGAAGGAGCTCCTACCTTTTGCAACAGCATGGATTGAACTGGAGAACATTATGCTAAGTGAAGTAAGCCAGTTGGTGAAAGACAAATACCATGTGATCTCACTTCTAAGAGGAAACTAATGAACAAAATAAACTAACGAGGAAAATAGAACCAAAGATATGGGAACATAGAACAGAACGACAGCAGCCAGAGGGGATAATGGTGGAAAACAGGTGAAGGAATTAGTCAAAAAACCATATATGAATGACCCATGGACATGGACAATGGTGTGGAGATTGTGGGAGCAGGGGACTAGCTGGGCAGAGGAGGGCAAAGGGAGAAAAATGGGGGTGACTATAATAGAATAACAATTAAAAAATATATTCTACATTCTTCACTGTTACCTTCTTAAGCCATTTGGAAAATGGAATTCAACCCATATGGTTTCCTTTTCTCTCCACATGGACATATTTTGGAATTTTTCTGTCACTTGACATCCAGCTACCAAGGAAATCGCTAGTGGATAAATTAAGCATTTTCATTTACAGCAGCATTCCTGGGTTTGCTGAGGAAAGGATGAAAGGCACAATGGACAGGGAGCACTGTAGCAATTTCTTCTTAGCACTGACTGGATTCTTAGCTGGACACCTGGGTGTAGCTCTTCTTAGATAGAGCCATATGAAGGTTTCCCTTCCATCATCACTGCAGGGGGCACTGGCAATCCGAGAGTCTTTTCCTCCTTCCTTTTGGCTCTGATTCAGCTTACAGATCACTTAGCCAAGAACCTGAGAAGGCAGGATGAGATCAGGAAGCCTTCCTGGATCTCTGCCTGTTGTGGACAGTGCCAGCTGGACTGCCCTAGAGAGACAAACGTGTCCTGCAGAGGCCTTCAGTGGATGTGACTTGATCTAGGCTATTGAAACTTCTTCTTGTAGAGTCTTCCAGGACAACTTATAAAAGAAAACACTTCCTGTGTGGACTGGTTGCACTATTAGTGAATTGTACATTCATCTTTAATAAGGCCTACAGTCTCATAAAAATAGCACAAGTGATATAGTTCACCACATTACTGTCAGTGGGACAACTTTTTATATTCTTTATCTAAACTATTAATTCTAATTATATTTTAAAAATCCAATGCAAGGACTTGAACAATCACACTAACATTGTCTTTTAGCAATAATGGGGAAAACATTTTGATACAGTGTCCTTCTTCAAGTCCAGCAAATGGCACAACTTTGCTTTCTTAAGCAATCATTATCCTTTAAAGAAATTGTGCAGAAAATTGTGAGACAGCTCAATCGCCTCCCATGATTATTTGACTAAAAGAATGCTTTTGGAAAACCGCTGCATCTTCCCAGGCTAACTAGCTGCCAAATCACACAACTTATATTTGCCTTTTAAAATATTTAACTTAATTCTCTGGCATTCACTTAATCAGCTGATGTCTATTCTTACCCTACCTTGTTTAGGACAAGCATCAGGAAGTTTTACTTATTTTCCCATCTTTAATAAAAATTGTTTTAAAAGTTTAGTTTTGTTTTGCAATATATGAATGTGAAAACTGAAAAATAGTAATGAAAATATTTTTAAATAAAGCCTTTATTTTAGCAGCATTGTTTAAGAACAGGAAAAAAAGTTTAATGGCTGTGTTAAAAACTGAAACAAATATGAGATCTATGATGTTCATTACGGAAGTATTCCTCACCGTAAAGAATTGCTTTATTAAGATAAAATAAGACTGTTCAATTAGGTTTTTGTTAGATGTGCAAAGGATTTCACTTGGAGGTTTCTCCAAATCAGAAGTCCTGTAAGCAAAAGTTACTTATCTGCAAGTTTTTAGGATCAAGTGTAAAAGACAGTTTATGAAATTAAGAAAAAACTGACAGTAACCAGAGGGGAGGTCGGAGGAGATAATGGGGGGAGAAGAGAGAAGGGTTGTCAAGGAACATGTATAGAAGACACATGGACAAAACCAAAGGGGAGTAGGATCCATGATGGGAAGTGGAGATGGCTGGGGAAGGAGGAGTGGGGGTGGGGGCGGAATAGAGACAACTGTACTTGAACAACAATAAAAAAAAAGAAAAAAAAAGGAAAAAATATATATGGATAATTTAACATATTTATATTTTTAAAAGATAATATAAAATGAATTACTAATTATATAAGAATAATTACTAAGAAAAATACATTGTGAATTTTGATAAATAACTTCTCTCTCAGCACTACTTCTGTATCCCCTACCATGCTTAGTTTTCAATATTGACTTTCTCCCAAACAGGGCTCAGGAATACATTTTTAGGGATAGTAACCAACAGCAGTGGTAAATTCTCAAAGATGGCTATTTGGAAAATATAGTCCACAGGCGAATCATTTTAGAAAGGAGAATTTCAAGGTTCAGGCTGAACTCTTAGCAAAAGAGGTAAATCACTGAAGTTGTCAAACCACAAAGTGAACTGTGACACACTCAGGGCTGAGAGGCTGTTTAAAGGGGAAAGAGACAAGGAGAAACCAATGCAAGTTGCCAAAACCTACTGCTTCATCTGATGGAGAGTTTATCATGTTTTTTCACCAGTCAAGTGGGATTTATTCATACTTGTTACTTTTTGTGCCACTAATGATCCTGTGCTTTCTCCTTTGTATAGGTGTGGTATTCCCTTACTTTCCACGACTGGGGCGCTATAATCTCAACTTCCATGAAGCACAGCAGGCTTGTCTGGCCCAGGATGCTGTGATTGCCTCCTTTGACCAGCTGTACGATGCCTGGCGGGGTGGGCTGGACTGGTGCAATGCCGGCTGGCTCAGTGATGGCTCTGTGCAATACCCTATCACCAAGCCAAGGGAGCCCTGCGGAGGCCAGAATACTGTGCCCGGTGTCAGGAACTACGGGTTTTGGGATAAGGAGAAAAGCAGATACGATGTGTTCTGTTTTACATCCAATTTCAATGGTAAGATACTAACCATACTTCCTTCTTTCATATACCATAAACCAATATGTACTATGACACTACACATGACTTTCAGTCTTGTGTACTTGAAAAGATAAAAGCTTTGAAGTTTGAAAAGATATAAAAAGTTCTTTCAGGTCATAATTTATTTTTAATTGACATGAGTAAAGCAAAAGTGTTCATTTCCACTGTTCTTGGGTTTTGTTACATCTGATTGGTCCTGTGAAATAGTTTACCGTGTGATGTTGTCTAGGGTCTGCTTTTTGTTGCCAAAGGTGATGTTGCCCCTCTATACCCTCCCTAGGATATAGCTCTCTCAAATGAAGTAAGGGTGGCTTCTGTGTCATGTTCTCTTTCACTGCATTCTAATGTCAGTACAGTCATAAATGATCAGCAAGGTTGAGGATGAAGAGTGCTTTGTAAGAAAACTCAGTAGAAATAGCATTGGAGGTGAGAGCTGAAGAGAAGAGGTTCATGTTTCCTCAATGTGGATGACTGATTCTTTGCATTCAACAAAAGTCCCAACCTTGCCCTGCTCCTTCTAGAACCAGCTGCATAATGAAAGGGGCCCAGTCAAAATGAAAATGTTGGTCCCTTGTTCCAAAATTATTGAGGATTTTAAGATGGTGACAGCAGAGCATTAAACCAATTATGAGACCATGTCTAACTGCACAGGTCATACACCCATGAAGCAAACCCTGGCCCCATCTATTTTATTTCCCTGGTGACATGCTTTGAAAAAAATAGCAAGGGATCAGGATCATCAAATTTTCTGTAAAGGGCCAGATAGTAATATTTTTGCTTTGCACACCATATGGTCTCTTTTGCAAGTAAAAAATTTAATGTGGTACATAGTAACACAAACACAGCCATAGACAGTATTAAATGGATAGGTGTGGTTATGGTTTTTTTTTATCTTTTTTTTAGATTTTATTGATTTATTTTTAGAGAGGGAAGGGAGGGAGAAAGAGAGAGAGAGAGAGAAACATCAATGTGCAGTTGCTGGGGGCCGTGGCCTGCAACCCAGGCATGTGCCCTGACTGGGAATTGAACCTGCAATGCTTTGGTTTGCAGCCCACGCTCAATCCACTGAACTATGCCAGCCAGGGCGGTTATGTTTTAATAAAACTTTATTTGACTCAGGTGTTGTAGTTTGCTGACACTGGTGTAAGTGATAGAACTAGCTAATGTTCCAATGGCTCTACCCTTTCTCCAGATCACGTCATCTTAGTCTAGAAAGTACTGCAAGCATTAATTTATACTTCAATAATCTATATTTCATGTATAATCAAACACAAGAGTGATTATATTCTATCTGAAAAAAGTCTGAGAAAATATTCAATTGGCGTGTATCACTTCAGTCAGTGCTGTCATATTTTATACATTTTATGGGTATTTAATACATGTTGAAGGAATCTTAGTAATTAACACTATTCAGTTAGTGGGGAGACTAACTTTAAATTGCTCTTGTGAAACAAAAAAAAAGAAAAAGTTAGGTATCAGGCTCCCACAGAGGAAAGTTGAAAAAAATAAATAAATCATCCTTTTGCTGGTGAGTGAACAGACTAGGTTCACATTCTGAGCCAGTATTATTTATGGCAAGTGTCTTCCTGTATTTTTTTCTTTTTGCATTTTCATACTGTAGTCTTTGAATAAGAATAATGTCTTATTGATACCTGTGATGAAAAGGACTTGAGGGCTTTTGATTTTTTTTTAATGGACTTTTATGTCAGGAATGTTTTTTGATCCTTTCACATTCAAATTTTGCCTCTCCAGAAACTTGTGCTGGGGTTCAGTCTTGCTACAGCTAGAATTTAAATAGCTCTTGCTTTTAACATGGAATTCTGTCTTCTCTATTGCCACAGAAGGGCCCTTTTAGTCACTAATTAGTGAACAGAAACTTCATCTGTCATTTCCCTTTTCCTTTTTAAAGCTATAAAAGGGTATGTCTGAACATGTATTAAGGGGCCAGGAAAAAAAAAAAACTAAGTAATTAATGGAGAGTGATTTAGGAGCACTATATTTGATTGAGAATCCTAGGTTCCAAAAACTGTTCACACATGACTCTATTTCCCATTATCCTGAGAAACACTTCTCTGTGGGGCTCCTTCCACCTCTGCATGGCTCAGGCACACACAGACCCATTGATCTCTCTCTCTCTCTCTCTCTCTCTCTCCCCGCAGGCCGTTTTTATTACCTGATCCACCCCACCAAGTTGACCTATGATGAAGCGGTGCAGGCTTGTCTCAATGACGGTGCTCAGATTGCGAAAGTGGGCCAGATATTCGCTGCCTGGAAACTTCTGGGCTATGACCGCTGCGATGCGGGCTGGTTGGAGGACGGCAGTGTCCGCTACCCTATCTCTAGGCCAAGAAGGCGCTGCAGTCCTACAGAGGCTGCAGTGCGCTTCGTGGGTTTCCCAGATAAAAAGCATAAGCTGTATGGTGTCTACTGCTTCAGAGCATACAACTGAGCGTGCCCCCCGAGCACGGCAAGTTCAGAGTCATTAAGAACATGTGAAAGGTTTTTTTTTTCTTCAATATGAACTCATGCAAGTTACCAAAACTGTGATAACCCTTTTTTTACTTACTGTAAAGAGTCATTTTCATAAAGATCAATTCATTAATTTGTTTTTGTAAAGCTATCATTCAATATATATTATAAATTAATATAATTCTAAGGGAAGTGCTACATAAAGGAGGCTTTAGAGCCAAACTGTTTAGGCTACATCATCCCAACGAAGTATCCCTCCATGAACGGGGCATGCAATAAACTGAGGACTGCTGGGATTAAATTAAGGAAAGTAAAGCTACTCAGAGCAGCAGCTTCCACAAGCACAAATTTTACACATTTGTACAATTTTGAAATGCACTACAACAAACAAATTAGAGCAACAGTCTTGAAATGCAGGCTTCTTTACATAAACTGAGATTCTGAAAGGTTGCACAAAACTCACTTTCACAAGAAAAAAATCTACACTTTTTTAAAAGTTAATATTTCAATTCTCCAATAGAATGTTTTACTGTTTAAAATCCTGCCTTTTTGACCAAAACATATAGTAAAATTCATATGGACTCCAATGCATAGTGATAAGCACAGTTAAAACTCCTTAATAACCCCGTTTATATGAAGTATGAGATTTAAATAAGCAGATAATATTTAACCCACAAGAGACTCCTACCTTCTTATTATTAAAATTACACATGCCTAAGAAGAATTGTCTTATCTTTTGAGTAGCTTTACTGAGTTATATTTAAATTCTAAGGGCCATTGGCTAAGCAGCATTTAGCATCTACTCAGGGCAGTTATATAGATAAACTGCTGGACAGAAAAATTGTAAAATTTAGCAGCTTGATTTTATGTTAGCTTATGAAATGTTATTGTCCTATAAAAATAACTTTAAGCTATTTAATATTTCCTTCTTATTTACATTACATTTAAAATTTTAATTCATAACAGGAATAAATAACTACACACATTCCTAACCAAGAAATATAGACCCAACTTTCAAAATTCTTATTTTTCTTATTTGTATTTACACTAGAAAGCCCAACTGGTGCCTGTGGTTGAGGAAAAGGAAGTCAACAAAGTAATTCTAAACCTTCCTCCATAAGAAAACGGTGGTGAATGATGTCACTCTCCTTGCTGGCCATCGTTATGTGTAAATGAAACACTGAAGCTGTCATCAAAGAGTTTACACTAAAATCGTCAGGGCTGTAAGCGAAAGGGAAAAAAGCCAGCTTCAGAAAAGCAACTTCTGCATCAGCAGCTCCAATCTTAAATAAAGCTCTGTTTTCCTATATTTTTATGACTGTTGAGACCCCACAGGGACCAATATTTGTATTCAAATTACATTTTATGGTTTCCCATTGTTTCACAATGAGTTCTAATAAATGGGATTTAGTATAATAATCCAAGTATGACATAGCTGGCATGCTTTCATGAATGTTTTTATGTAGATTTTCCTCCCATGAACATGAGTAAATAAATCTGTTTCCTGAATTGATTGTGGTTGCATTTAAAGTGCTGTAATAATTCTAATAAATTTACTCTCTAAATGTAGATTACATTTGTGGAAGGTATAGAATAATTGGAAGTCCATAAAACCATAACTATATTCATACATTATCCAGACAAAATATTGTAAGTAAAAGTAAATCACTTCTTTTATCAAGAACATAGCTGGAGATTTTCAGATGCTTTAATTATTAAAAGATAACAATGTATGCATGCACATTTTTACATTAGATTGGATATGCAAATTGTACAAAAATTACAAAAATAAATCCAAAGAGATTGTGAGGTTTAACTCAAATACTGGTGATACAAATAGAACTTGAACTTTTAAGTTAAAAATTCCTGAATGGTCTCAAATAAGATAAACACTTTATTTAAAGATTTATTTTTAGAGTACTATCTCCAAAAGAGTGACTCTTAACACCTCAACTATGGAGGTGAGTTCATTGGAGGAAGCTTATACTTGAACGATTATTACCCACAATACAAGAATTTTATTGGAAATGCAAATGGGAACAAATTTATATTGAACAGATACATAATTTTCAGTTATTGCTGCAAAACTCTACCTTTATAATGTTAAGCATAGTCGCTAACATTTCTTAACTTTTGAATACTTATTAGTATAGGAATTGGTGCTGATCAAATACTCTGGACTGTTAGCTGATTAAAATCTATACTGATTGAACACCATTTTTCCAAGCTTGTAAAAAAGTTCTTAAAAAGAAAACTGCCGGGCAGAATTTTTATCTTCTTACTTTCCCCTAAAGGATGAGAATCTCCTTACCCCTTTGGACTTCTACTTGAATAGTTTTTTTTTTAATGTTACCATTTGCCATTTTCCCACCAAATGTTTTCTTTCCTACTTCATTGACCAAGATATCTCACTAAGAATGTTGGGAAAAGACAGATTATCCTTGTACAACTACTAACAGAAAGTCAGCACATTGGCTAATTCAGAAATTGCCCCTCAAGCTTGAGTTCCAAGACTATCAAGAAGAGATAAGATGGGACACTGGGTTAGAAAATCTTGTTTTGATCATTTTGTCCATAATTAACACATGTGGCCATTAACACATATAAGCAGCAAAGTTTATCTTGGAGTTGGATTGAGACACCTACATTTTAAAACCCATCAATAAGACATGGTTCATATAAAAAGAATAGGAATGGACACAAGTTAACCATATTAACACTGGAAGCCTTCTTTTAATGACTGCTGCCATATTTTATCACCGTAATTTTTAGTCAGATATGGTTTTTGTACATTTAAACTCTCTCATAGAAAGGGGGCCGGTACCTGTTAAAGTTTTATTTTATGCAATAATATAGTCGCTTATTATTTTGGCAATTCAAAGTAGACTCAAAGGAGATTCCAATTTGGTTGCTGGCAGCCATACTGGGTTTCTTGATTTCAGTGCTCCAAAGAATATGGTGGTCTCACAGAGTAGCTGACCACTGTGAGGGGGGAGTAAAAGAGAATTACTCTCAGTTTTCAGCATAGAATGCATTGAGAATGATCAATGGATAACTGACAGTTTTGTTGAGAAGTTAACTGTATCATAGCTCACTACTGCCAGAGCAGCAATGATGTACGAAATAAATACAAAATACAAAAAGTCATTAAGCCATCTGATCAAAAGACAATCAGTATTTAAAGGAATTTAATACCTACTGAATACAAATCTGAGGAAAAGAACCAATCTGTATTACAAGAAAAAAAATGTTTTCATTTTCTGTAAGATACAATGAACTGGTAAACAAACATTAAAAGACAATTTTGTGTTACTGCAGTATCTTTTGATTCTTCTGAGTTGTACAACCTTAGTTATTATCCTTTGTGTCAAACTCTATAAATACATTATTTTAAGAAAAGATATTTAACCCATTTTGTTCTAATACATTTATGTTCAAATTGTAACCACATAGAAATTTCCATTTCCTGGAATTTTTGTAAACTTAAAAAAAGAAGTATATCTATGGTGTTGCTAAATCAACATTAGTACTGTCCCAAAATCTATTGCTTTTTTCTTTTTATATGATTCAAAGCATAATTTATTTTTCTTATGATTAACAATTCCAGAAATCTGTGTTATTAGTAATTTGATTAAAATACTTGAGGTAATTTATAACTTCAATTATTAACACTGAATTAAAAGATTTTTATTTTCATAGTAAATTTGCTACATTCCAACAAGGAACATTTTTTAATATTTCCATCTTTTTCCTGAATATTCAACGTGGGAAGTAGTTTCTGGATTTTCTTAGTATATAGAAATGAATTCTTAGGTACAAGAGTTCATTACTGATTCAGTGATTTCAACACAAACATACTCAAAACATTTTGAGTCATTCACATTTCAGACAGAAAATGCACCAAAATTTTTCCCATTCTTATTTGAAATACAATGAAAGACTTTGGAGAAGAAAGTCCAAGGACTAAAGCATCTGCTTTTAGTGTTTATTTTCTCACATAGATGAAGTATATTATTTTTACCTTGCTAGCAAATTTCATCTATTGCTACAACCTGGTCATGTATAAAACCTCCTGGTACTAACACTGAAGGGTCCAATGGAGTTTCATTATGCTTAAATAAAAACAAGCTACCCTGCTCAGATGTGATGTCCTTAGTTCCCAACCAAGTGACAAAGCTTAATACTAAGACTATTCTTGAATAAAATGGACCCTGTCCAGGACAGTCAGATATGTAAGGAGAATAGTGAAAGCAAAAAGATTATTGGGGTGTAAGAGGAACACAGGGATGAACTAAGAAGAACCTGAACCTGATATTTCCCTTCCTGTCTTGATTTCTTGGGCAGACCACTGAGGATTGTTTAGATGCACAACTGAGAGTATCTCTGTAGTCCTTGATTCTCAGTAGGTGATAGATATATTAGACAACTGACAGCAAGCTACGTCCCCTAGTCTTAGAAGGAAATTCACTACACACTTTTTTTTCTACAGAGAAGCAAATCAAGCTTATTTATTTTCTCCATATTTCTTTTAGGCTAATAAACTTTTGCTACCTTCACAGCCACTCATCATCTGAAACAACATGGGTCAGCCCAGAAGGCGATTCCACATCATTCTTGAAATCCACCAATTCTCCTTCTCAGCCTATTTCTGTCCACTGGGGCTGTGTAGAATCACCTGCCTCAGCTACTAAGAAGCAGCATTTTCATTTAGTTGGTACTTGACTGCAGCCTGATTTCTGTTTATTTAGGGAGTCCTCCCCAGATGTAGAGAAACTTCAGATTTTCCATTACCTAGCAATGAAACTATTGGTTTTATCAACAAATATAAGGATTCTAAGAATATTTTATTCTTGTAATTGTTTTCTAAGGAATGGGCTCAATCATCAACTCTTTGTCCTGTTTGAAATATATTTTGTTTTGTTTTTATGTTTCTCCCATTGATTTTCATCAGTAAACACTCTGCTTTGCAGAACTCACATACTATATATGTAGACAGCAGGAAAAATGGGTTTGAGGTTTTAGAGTCTTTGAAAAGCCCTCCCTTAAAGATGCTGAGAATCTTGCATGGGAATCTAAAACCAGAGCTGCAGAACACTCATTTATTATTCTGAGAAATAAACATATTCATGTGTAATGATTGCTGTGAGCCCAGGGAAAAGATAAAGTCTTTGGGGGTTCTTCCTGTGCTCTACTTTTGCCAAATGGAACATCCTTACTCCATGGAAAGATACTCCTGTGATGAGAGCCAAGTATCAAGTGGCTGAGAAGAGACTTCTGCTGTTCTGACAGAATGTTAATAGCCAGTTTTTAAGTTCAATATGCATGGGACTTCAGTAACCTAATAAAAGCAGTTGTATTCAGCATATTTACACCACTTGGGAGAATTAGGAAAAGATTGAGGCCTGGGTCTCTCCTCAACAGATTATGGTCAAGAGTGCAGCCTGGACCTAACGATTTTGTAAACCTCCTCCGGCCTCAGCTAATTCTAATAAGCAGCCAAGGTTGAGAACCACTGGTCTTAATAGATTTAGGAGAAAAGTGAAACCATTCAATTGATATAAAATTATACTGATATTAAGAATTCAATAAAAAGTAATTTTTAAGTAGTATATAATAGGTGTAAATTTGATTGAATTTGGAATACTATTCCAATATTTAATTTATCTGATTTAGTCTTTTCTTTTGGTGATAGTTCCCATGAGCAGATATGCATCTAATAAGCTATTTATATGCCTGCTCCACTATTGTCACTTCTGTAAAAGTGACTTTAAACAATTTATATATTATTTTGATATCAAACTCTTCCCAGTCTAAAGTATTGACACCCAGGGGCTATAACAGTAGTTGTATAAAATATTTTGGGGGAAAGAATCAAATTCCACATGAAAGTCAATGGCTTCTGAGATTTCAGTTATATCTCAGAAATAAAAGAGCTAGCTCCACTGTGAGCCTTACATTACAAACAATGACCCTCACACACATACACACACAAGCCAGCACATGCTGGCAAGATAGACAAGAGAATCTAGGGTGGAGGAGATGAGGAGGAAGAGAGGTGGAAAGGGAAGAGGGAGGAGAGAGGAGAAAGAAATCTACCTTTGTCTTGAGAAAGGATACATGGTTTGATGAAATAAACTTCCCAGGTGTCAGAAACAACTTCTACTTTTTAATAGTATAAGTGTACATGTTAAAATGTATAAATCGGCTGTCTTCCAAAATCATCTTTATTTTATTGTGCACACATATGGAAATATGCAGTCCTCTTTACCTATCACTAATTTACTCACTGAATAAAAGACATTGCACTGTTTTATAATCTGAAGACACTATTCAGTACAGTGGTTAAGAGCACAAACTCTAGAGCCAGATACCTGGAGTTCAAATCCAGATCTGCCACATACTGTCCCTGGCCAAACCGTAGGATGTTTCTCAACCTTGGTTTCCCCATCTCTTCAATGTCTGCATCACTGAGTTATAAAATTTACATGAGTTAATATATTTTGGTAATGGCTAACACAATATATCATTGTGTGCTGAATATTTTACATATACAATTTATTTAATTTACCTAACTCTATAATGTAGGTATTATTATCTATTTTTTACATGAGAAAACAAAGGAGTTGTTGCGCGTGGGTCACCAGCCAGCAGTGACCACGGAACGCTGTGGATGGCTCGACGATAAACACGTGAGAAAAAACGACACATGCACAGAGACAAACTAGTTTCTGTGGGGAAGTAGGGACGAAATGGCCACCCCCCCAGTGGGGGAGCGCCTGATTTACCATCCATACCTGCTTTTATTAGGCTCATTTTGCATAATAATTCAGGTAAAGTATAGTACTCATTAGGGGAAGTAAGGAACTATAGAAAACAAAGAACTCTGCCGGTCTATTGAGTTGGGGGTCAAAGAGCTGTAAGACTGAGGAACAAACTAACTTCCTCCTAAGACCCTTCTCATTCAAGTGAAAGCATTCTAAACAAAGAAGGTTTCACAGTAATTTACATGTTCTTTCTTAGGCCTGATCACCCTGGGGAATCCGCACTTCTCAGTACCGAGCTGCACCACCCTGTCATTGTTTCAGGCTTAGGTGGAGCAAGGGAACTAGGTAACCAAGAGATAAGGAGATTTTCTCCCAGACGCTGAGAACTCAGGCTATGTCAAAGCCGAGGAGTGAGGGTCCATCACCCCCTTTTGCTGCAGCCCCCCCAAGTCCTTCTTTTGGGGGGCCTCCCAAAGTGATCGTGCCTGGCTTAGGTCGTTCCCCCGTGGGGAATCTTACCCGTCTTTGGCTAACCGACCAAGCTTTTGGGGGGTTCAGTCATGAATAAAGCAGCAGAAGCAGCATTCCTGCCAGGGAGATAAGCTTTTGTCTCCTTGCTGGCTTACGGTTCCAAGGGCGTTCCCTTAGCCTTAGCTAGGTGGGGGTTTCAGCCTCTGATACCAGTCAGGGCGGTTCCCAACAAGGAGTAATAAGGTTAAAT